CTGTGATAAAAACAAATATACCAAGCCTTGAACCAAATATCGTCATGCCTGGCCTAACCTCCTGCTATTTTTGTATTTTATTCTACTTACCCTGTTTCGTTCCCGTTTTTCGTAAGCTATGGACTTTCTTTTCTTGACTGGTGGCCTTTCTCCTAGCGACCCTGGGTATTTAGGTTTTTCAAAAACTGTGGGAATTGCACCCTTAACTAGGCGTTTTTTAATTTTCCCCACGACTCCCAAGTAGTTGCCTATGCTGGACTTCATTTCAAAGCATTCTGCCTCAAAATGCCGTCCGCACAGCATCGAATGCTTGGTGGGCTGCCAGTCGGCCCTTGAAATACCGACAGCCTGTATCCATTTCTTCAGTAGGGAACGGGTGAAATCTAACCCCATCTAAGTGGGTCGTTTTGCACCCAATTGCAACACAACGCATAACAACACCATTAAGTAGACGGTAATTCGATAGTAGGTAGACGAATCTGATTTCAAAATAGAACTTCGCGACAATCAAAACAAACCGCGATTGGAGACAAGTTGAGACAAGACAATTAGGAGCCGGACAAGTCTGACGTCATAGTGTCACATGACCATTATTAAACATTGTGAGGTGGGCGGGGCTTAAATGTTGAAAAATCGCTATAAATCATGATTTTTTAAAATTATGATTAACAGTGTGACGTTTATTTCCATATCTCATGATTTATATATACCTAAGTGAATATAGATATCCAACACAGAGTGTATGAGGTTCCAATAACTTTAACAACTGACCAATTAGAACAGTTCCAGGAATACGCGCGTGTCCAACATACCTAGTTGTTGTCCCCCACAAACGCACGTGCTTGCGTAGGCCTATGTTTTAAGTCGTTTTGTGGGAACAATATCCAAGGGGCGGGGCTTAGAGAAAATGTCCATTTAATTGTTAACTAACCTTCGACCGGCGTCCAAGATATATTGACCTGTAAATCCCATTTTGTCGAGTTGTCATAAAGGTCAATGGTGAGAAATGTTGCCTTAGTGTTAATACTGTCGATTGCTTCATAATCTTATATTGTAAAGAAAAATATTTAATATTATAATTTTGTTATAATATTTATACACATTATTATTATTATTATTATTATTATTATCAGTTATTATTATTACTATGCAGTGTCATTTTTATTGTTGTTATTATAACAATATCGAAAGGTCCACTGATTAATCTCAGATAAGAAAGTATAATACATACTCCAAGTATTGAAATACACGCCATCGTGTTGGGATTCAATATTTCGACATTAATTATGTCATCATCAGGAATGATGACATAATTAATGATGATGACATAATTAATGTCGAAATATTGAATTCCAACACGATGGCGTGTATTTCAATACTTGGAGTATGTATTATACTTTCTTATAACAATATCGTAACCAGATAAGTAATACAGACAATATATTTGAATTTTAGAGAAAGTAAATTTAATAACATACACGACACACGGAATACCGTATAGTGTACATTATTTTTTGTTTAGTCCATACCTTCTGAGTTGTAACAGCAATTTTCTGTAATAACAGACAATATTCCATAAAACAGTTGTACAATGGTTAAAACTGATAACCAGCCTCTCCACATAGTTCTGTAGGGCGATTTTCTATGGAAGACGAGTCGTGACCTGATTATCTGTCTTTCTACCATTAATTTGGAAAAATGGTTAGTGAACTGTTGAATTTAGATTATATAGATTACGAAAGATTAACTACGATTAAATTACTCATTCTCAATAATCCTATTTCATTATACCATTAAGAAACAATATCAATAACAGTGATCGTAACGGCAATAATATTGTTTATATACTAATTTTCACAACAGTTAATAAACGCAAAGCACCTAAATAAAGTATAAAAATTCTCTCAGTAAATACACTACCATACAATAAAATAATTTATTTCAATAATGAAAAAGACGACAAGCCTCGTATTACTATTGCTAACTTTAATAACCATCGATGGTATTACGTAATGTTATTCACAAACAAACTGAATATAATATGGCTGCGTACTTGATGGATGATTACGCTAAACTATAAACACTTTAAATTAAAATGATCAAATAAAATGTTAATTTAACAAAACATTTTAAGGAAAGTAAACGCTTTTAATATCAGATCTTACACTTAGTTAACTACAATTTGTCAACTGGCATTTGTAGTACCAACAAAGAACGAAGGCATTTTATTTCTCTATATTATGACAAACTGCGTTTTGAATTTGTCCTATAAGGGTATAATAGCCAATTGCTATAATAAATGGTTGGTTAATTGATTGAATTTATCCGGTGTAAAACAAACACCAACGAAATTCTGAAATTTACTCCAGTGGGTCCTCCTTCCCGTTGAGCACTTGACCGGCAGAAATGATACTGTTTTAAACATGAAGGAATTAAACTAATTTCTCCATGTTCTAAAGAAGGTTAGACCTAGAGTATAGACAAATGCATTCTTACCTATGATCAATTTAACGGTTATTTATTCAATATTCTCTTGTATTCAACTCGTTTGTGTCTGTTATTATGTCCAAAAATACTCTACAAGGAAAAACTGAAATGCCAATATAGTCCCATAGTGTGTAGCACAATTTAACATGTTGGAAAATGACGGTCACGAAGAAATGGATTAATACAGATAAAACTAGAATCCACTTCACCACCGGATATATTGAGGATTTTTACAATAGTTCTGTGGAGTTGTATCCATCAGCATCGGTATTCCGGAACTACATTCGTGTCAGCAGGATGAAAATTTAATCAATATGAACAGGATCTATTGGAATCAGGCCTTACATACAAAGCGGAAGAAATGAAATATTGTGACATCCATAGGCCTATAATCCTAACGTTTCTGTGCTTTGAAAATAGTGGTTCGTTTCCTGGTTTAGAGCTGAATACCATTGACGAAGCAAAATATAATTGCAGCTTCCGCATAGTCGCGTATACCTCTATTTTGGTCAGGCAATACGATAAAAATAATCCACTGATGAAAATTATAGTAGATTAAAACTCATAGAAAGACATTATACAATCTTATTCTATTTCTGCCAGAATTCGAAAAAAGGACACAAATTGAGGACCGCGGTTTTGGACGAAAAAGAATAGGGAGGGACAAAAAGTTTGACCAGTCAATAGGCCTATTAACCGAGATAAAGTTCCTGACACTGAGAGTAGTGAAGAAGAAGAAGAAGAAGAAGAAGAAGAAGAAGATGATGATGAAGAGGAAGAGGAATCTTTTTTTTTCTGGTTTCAAATCAAGACTCAAAGCACACCTATTTTGTTCGTGTTACGTTTCATTTATTTTCCTTTTTTTCATTCACTGTGCACTGAAGCCATTATGCCTATAAATGCCCAACTATTATAATATTTAGTTACGTGAAAGATCAAAATAAACAGATGAATAACATAATTTTTTACTAAAGTGATCAAACATTGAATTTAAGATGTGTCAAATGTAACAGAATATAGGTTATTAAAATCTGCATCTCATACATTATTTATAAATTGCTACAGGTAGGCCATTTCACAATGGAAATGGACAGTGTTAAAAATGTCAGATGGCATGATATTTAAAACCATCAAACATTAAATTAAATCACAGAATTGCACATTGTTATCAATTTCTAATGACAGAGATTATACACAGGGTGGCGCCAGCGCGGGAGGCCGGGGTCAGCCCCTCCCCCACCCTTTCCCCGTCGGAGAGAAAAACCAAAATTCGTCGGGGAGAAAAAAAATGTATAGGCCTATGTATTTTCTACATATAAGTGGACTCCAAAATTGATTAAATAAGCCTTTAATTGTCATATTTTGGGGCTTCACCCCCGAGGACGCTTTCGAGAGGTTTTGAGCGACGCCTGACCACGCCACTTTTTTTCATCAGGGACATCGCCAATACCCCCTTGGGGACCTCAGAACCCACCTCCCACCCCGTCGGGCAAATCCTGGCGCCCCCTCTGATTAACAGTGACATATCATTCTTATTTTTTCGCACTTTCAGGTGACTCTTTGGAACTTATTGCCAGCTTCGAGCTATTTTCGAAATAACCACCTCACAAATTTTACAACCAATAGTTTTCAGTTTTGTCAATCTGGTTGTTTTATGGTATTATTAATAAATATGTTTGGGGATTTCCTATGAACAAAAGCTTTTTGTTGACCTTAACGTGTATAATGTAAATTAAGCATATGAAATATAAATATATAATAATAATTATACAAATCTAGAATTAGCACCGCCAGTTTCGTTCCTTCGTCCTGTCTTTTTGTTGACCTTAACGTGTATAATGTAAATTAAGCATATGAAATATAAATATATAATAATAATTATATAAATCTAGAATTAGCACCGCCAGTTTCGTTCCTTTGTCCTGTCGTCCAATCTAGTGTATCCCTCAACTCTTCTCATCGTTTCTATCATTATCTTGCACGCCATTACAATCCGTTTGTTGTAATGGACGTACACGACATAACATTATCATTCAACATTATTCATTATTAATATAGATTATTATTATTACTAATATTGTTAGTAGCTTATTATGATTCTTGCATTATTAGTAAAAAAATAAGAAAGTAAGAAACAAACTTTGTAAAAGTGATACAAGCCATTGTGATTCAATATTTCGAACATTATTAGTTCATCTTCAGGAATTTGCAGATTTTTTGTTGGAGTTTCCCCCCACCCTCATGATTTTTTTTAGTAAACAATGTTAGGTTATCAACAATTTTTTTTGAGATATTGACTAATATTCTTCAAATGCGTTTTGGCAATATAATAACGGCGTCCGTTGGTATTCCGTTGACAGGTGTTCTGCATTTGTATACCTCGCCATAGTACCCATGACCAAGTTCTTTCCTTTCACTTCTGTCTATTTCGTAAACTGGGTAGTCAGTCAGTGTCGGTCGACTTTGTGAATGTTTCGGAAAGATTACATCTATTTGTAAAAAAAAGATCAATAGATCAGTATTTTTTTATTTATGTTATAGTGATTTGTATATAATAATGTAATGATGATGATGATGCTTATGATGATGATTATAAATAAATTATACGTACCTAAGTCTAAAATATTGACTTCTTCTTTGTCTAAGCGTTTGCGACGATATATGTATGGACGTCTACCTCTATGATCTGGGCATACTTTCCACAGGCTTATGAAAAGTATTATACCGAACATGTTTACACCGCCTCCCACGATCAGTGCTTTAGTAACGGCGTTAGAATCATTGTCAGTAACTGGTAGGACCACTACATACAAAAAATAAATATAAACGCTCAATAACACTTTGACATTATCTGCGTCACAATGCATAATCAAAGCAAACAACTGACCAATCAGAACGTGCCTATCAAAAATTTCCACAAAAACACGT